CTGAAATATTTTCTAAATTTTGAGCAGTACTTCTCTGAGGGAGATGATTTTCCAACCTACACTTCAACTTCTCGCCTTGGTCTTCATTCTCATTTGTCAAAAGCTTCAAATACAAAATATGATATATAGCTTATTCTTGGTATATCTTGTAAATTGTAATTTTAAGTTCATTTTGGAAAAAATATCACAATATAATCTAATTCTTCTATTTTGTTCCTCAACTTCACCTCTTCTTTTTCAGAAATAATATGTTTGTTTCTTGGATTAAACAATTCGTTTTCACTCTCACTGTGCTAACATGTTATTAAGTAGCAGGACAGCAATTGTCAGCATAGAAATGAACCGTTAGAAATAAGCCCACTGAAGTAATAATATAGTCCAAGAACTGCCAGGAACTACTTTTCCCAATAAGCTTTATATTACCTTCTATACGGATTTTGGATAATAATTCTGAAGTCAGTATTAACCCGCTTCTGTGGATTTTATAATTGTAAATCTTAACAGTTCTAATCAAGAGTCCAGTTTTTAAAAATCCTGAATCTTAGTTTAGCTTCTAGTAGTAAAGTGAACTTACTATTGGAATGTCCTGAATCACTGCCTGGCCAGCTGGAGATAGAAATTCAAGCTCCGCTTCAGCACAATCTGTATTCACTAAACATTCAACCATATAAACACGAACATCACAGGAGGACTTCAGAAGTATCTGACAGCAGTAGCGACCAGCATACTGAGGAATAAATCTTATAGGAAGCTCAACTGCCGCATCATTTTCTAAAAGAAACAAAAACAAATGCAATGATGTAAAACTTTTCAGAAACTGAATTTACATGAAGAATCTAGGAAGAGCTTCTATAAACTGTAAAACATTGTCTAACAGTATATACAACAACATAAAACAAACACTGGAATTTTAGGAGCATTATCACATAAGCACAGCCAAAATTTTATTTTCCTTAAAAATATATACATACATACATACATACATATATATATATATATATATACACACACACGTAAGCTTCCAAACATCGTTTTGTATGTTTTCAAGCAATAGAGAGATAAGTATTTTAAAGGATTAATTAATTCTACCCAAGCAGAAAGGTTGACTTTTATGTGAATTTCCGCAAATATCAAAAACATATAGCAGTTGCCACTGAATACGTTTGTCAGCAGTTACCGTGAGAGATATCTGAGATAATACAGTGTATTTCCCAACAGTAAACCCAACAATAACTGGAATTCTATTAAGTTTAGTAGTTTTCATGAGAGCTACTCATTAGCCTTTTCAGATGTCCTATGTTTCATTCAAAGTCTGTTTCCTAAAATGCTGGAGGTATCCAACAGAACCATGAAAAGTCCCATTTGCCCAATGCACAACATGTAGAAAAAACTCCCCATAATAATCTCTAGGGTAAGGAAGCAGCAATACAAATGCTGTCCCCATTTGGACATAGTCATGGCTGACAAGTCTGCTGCAGATTCTTCCTTCACTCTTGCTTACAAAAAGGATCAGATGCTTTTACAATATCACCACCATTCCCCTCAACCCTTGTAGGACCCACTTTCCAAAGAAGGGAAGGCACCTGAGGAACATCAAGTACTGGCCATGAAGAGACTTCCCCAGTCCAGCTTACCCATGAGTCTTTAAGGAATCTGAAGAACTAAACAAACAGAGCAGCTCTAACAACTTTGCTGTAGTCCTATGTTTACCTAAAAACATTTCTTCACAGTGTTTTGCAGGACTAGAAGCCAATGAAAAAAGCCATTTGTTGGAAAAGATAATGAGGAAAGTCAGGGACAACGTAATGACACAATAGAACCTTGCAGATAAAACTTGGAACAAGCCATCACTCCCTGAAGTAACAGCCTTGGAAATTTTGTGGATTTCCCTTCTTCCTTTACCGTGGTTTATTTTGTGCTGATATGACAACTGGACTCAAATTATTTTAATATCTTTAGTGACAACTACTGAATTTTGAAAGTGCAGTCAATCTTCATTTGCAATGTCACTCATTCTCTTTCACCAAGCAGTATTCCTTACGTTTTCAGTCCTGACCTCTCTGCAAACGAACAGTAAGATAAAGCTTTCTTGTTGACTTATGTCATCTGTGTTTTGGTTATTTCACAAAAATAGCTCAACTTCAAGAGAGGAATGATACAGAATGATATTATTAATCTTTCAACACTATGAGGCTATCAAAAAGATTATAAATTGCACCTCAGGTTTAACCCCCTCTGAAATAAATTAGTTTGTTCTCTCTTAAAGACAAGATTAACGGCCTGGTAATTTTTGAATTATTACCTTTTTGTATTTTGTCACCAACTTATTACCCCTGTTGGCTACATTCTACAAAAGTGACCTGAGTTTGTTAGTTATACAAGGCATGAAACTGTCCTTTCTATTCCACAGTTCATGAATACAGTCCCTAATTTTGTCTATCTACAAGAAAAATTTTAGGATATTGAAACAAAAAATATACTTACATTTTTTAGGTATACATTTTAAATACTTGCATTAAAAGATGAAGCAGATGATAATCAAGCATTTGAAGAAAGACAATACAGTGTACTGGAAACTCTAAAATATTTCTGCAGCAATAAGATGAGTTTTAGGGTCTTGCACTCAATGGATACTGCAATTACCAATGCAAAACCTTTACAAATGATTCATTTGTGGCATTTTAAAAAAAGAATTAATAGTTGCATTGATTAAAGGATCATGTTATTTTTACAAGGATGCAAAACAGCTGAAATTTTTAAAATTAAAATATTTTAAATAGCACAAGTGCCAGCATTTTATTAGTAGCAAACATGATATATTTCACTGGCTGATACGGCCCTTCATGTGAGAAGACTGAAATGGCTTGGGTAACTGGGATGACTACTCGATTCAATCTACTGATTCATCCCTACTGACTCCTGTGTCCTGTACTTTTCAAAGGCACATTCAGACAGGCAACTACTTACTTACCTAAACTACTTCTAATGCAGATCAACAGATAAAAACCTAATTCCTCTGCTTTACCCCCAAGGACATAGTAGCTATGTTTACTCCATACAATAGAACAATAGGAGAGGAATATGACAGAGGCCTATAAAATGAAGACTAGCATGGAGACCATGGATAATGATCAGTTATTCTGGCTACTGTGGCTAGTACGAGCAAAGTTTAAAGTAACCAAAAGGAAAGTGTTGTTCTTGCACACTTGCACACAGTAGCACACCGTACTACTCCTTGGCATGTGACATTGTGAATCTCCAAGCTCATGACCTCAGTGAGACGACTAGTCATTGAGAATAAACTAATTGAGGATTACTAAATATATAGAAGCCATATCTTTTGCTAAAGATAGGGTAGTCAACTAAATGCACTTTGATCTCACCCAGTATGGCTTTTCATATGCTATGTTGTGATTTAATTTTAAATGTATGCTCAGTAAGAAGAAATTAGAGTTATAATCACTGATTTGGACCCATCTTCGTAATGCATGCTTTAAATCTGAGTTGCCCCCTTTACAAAATTATAAATAACAAAAAAGAGTCTTCCTACCCACCTCATTCAATATTAATAATATTTAGTTTGTCATTTCTTTATTAAAATGTGTTCCTTTTGCATAAAAAAAGTTTACATTGAGGAATAGGTCAGCTGAAAAACAGAAAAATTATGATCAATTATGATCAACAAAACATAAAGGAAAGTAACTTAGTCCTGTTTATTTAGTATGATAATCCAATAAAATATGGTTTCTGAAGTGAGCTGGATCTCTAGTGAAATCAAAATGACTGCAGAAACCACTTGCCTGTGAATTGTATATGAAGGTTGGGGTTTTTTTCTACAAAAATTTTTTATGCTAATTTTAAATGCCAAAAAGTAACTAGGCTTAAAGGTTTTTCAACTTACTATGTTTTCCTCTTTCAGAGTCTCATATAATATTAAGCAAAGATTAAACCAGGAATTAATTCAAAGATTTAATGAAAATAATCCATGAGGTCACAGTTGGCCTAACAAGGCCAAGTTTTGAGACAAAAGTAGTAATACTGAGCAACAAACAGCTGCAGTTAGGTTATTTCCGTCTAAAGGGAAGCAGAGTCTGCATCCATGGAAAGGAATGAGACTGCGTTAAAATATAAGAGAAAGCATACACTTGAGTTTAGTAATAATGACACTTTGTGGAGTAATTGCTATTATTTAACTTTATTACAAATTGCAGGAGGAGGGTGAGCAAGAATGGAAGTTCTGACACTGCATATGTGTCACAATATCTGGTTACATCAACATAAAGAGTGAATTTAGAAGTACAGATGCCAATAAGGGTAAATAAACCATACAGAAGAGTCCAGACTCTTCAGGTTTCTGTTTATATATCAGGTCTTCAGATGTGTTTTTCTAAACACATCTAAAAATCAGACTACCCAGTAGTTTTGAAAAAGTGACCATTCTTTGTTATCCTTAACGAGTGCTGTTTTGAAATTTTGGCTATTTCTGTGCATGATTCGTTTGATTAAGGTTTCAGAACAGGAAGATACCATCCTTAAAAGAAAAAAAGGAAAAGAAAAAAAAAAGCTTAGTAATGAGTGTAAATCATTCTTCTATCATTAAAACCTAAAGTCTGATATCATTTGTCACTGAAAGAATTCAATTAATAACTATACAAATACCAATGATAAGGGAATGGTTCACAGTTCTGAAATTATACCTTTTTACCCTTATACAGAAAAATATCAAGTGAAAACCAAGAAAAAGGTTAAAAATAAAAATCAGCTATTATGCATAAATTAACTAGTAAAATACTTTCAATTATTTTCAATATATAGTGATAGAATTGATTGGTTCTGCTGATAGGAAACTAAAAAAAAAACACAAATAATATTGCAACAATGTAGCCCTAATAGCATTGCTAACTACATAAAGGACAAAAAGCATGAATACTTTTTGTCCACCAGGACCTTCAGGACTTTCTCTGCAAAGCAACTCTCCAGTTTTATCTGGACACACACTTACGGAAAAGCTTCTATAAATCTACTAACGGTTTTTACAAATCTAAGCCGATAGCCAAATACACTTGATCAACCAGAAAAGGAAGATTCTGCTCAGAAAATAAAGGAAGGGGGAGATGAAAGTAGTTTTTTCTTAACTGATTTAAAAATGCAAATAGCAGTGAATTTTTTCCAAGTCTTATCACAAATATTCAGCAGCCATATTCATGTATCAAATTCAGAAGCTTGTTAAGAGCTGAGCACTACTACAACACAGTAGAGCAAAGACTTAGAGGTTTGTTTGTTTGTTTGTTTTAATAAAATTGGCTCCTCAGGATTTCCTAAGAATATTTACAAAGCTTTATAAACAGGCAGGCTACACACTCTCACTATAATAATGGGCAACCGGAAAGCTTCAAATAAGAACAATTTTGCTTAATACAATTTAAGAAAAGTAGTAAAGCTAGGCTGCTTTCTTACGTTATCCAATGCATAGCCCCCTACTGAAAAGGATCAGTTGAACTACAAAGTTTCAAACTGAGAAAAATGCAGTTATAATTCAAAGACTGAATCTAAAATCACAACAAGGACAGAGCTAATATCTCTCAAAAACATATGCTCAACATTTTATAAATTTCACAAAAATGTGATTCTGCATGACTGGAGAAAGGACTTTGCTAAGATAAGGTCTTTAAAAAGGAAGCAACAGAAGACAAAAGAAGGAAGAGTAACCAAAATTTCCTACAATCAAAGAAGAGAGCTCAGAACTAATACAAAGGAGTGCACTGAACGTC